TGTCCTGTTCAATGAAAAGCTGAGTTCCAAAAAAAATAAAGTGTGTGATCCATCATCATGGGCTGTTCTTGATCAAAACAAAACAAAATGCAACAGGTATAAAAGACATTGGCATAATTGGGGACATTTGAATACAAATTGTATAGTAGATAACAATGTTGGATCCACATTCATGAATTGGATCCTGAATATCACAAAGACTCACTTGATGAAAATTGTGCAAACTCCTTTGTGTCCCCTTTCTGACTATGCCTTTGACTTTGAGCTTTGTCCTTGTCTGGTAATCCAATTTCAGCAAGAATTCTACTGGGTAAGTTTATGAAAAATCTTCCACTGTAAATATCTGGTCGCTCTTGATAGCTTATCAAATTCCTCACCCTCTGTATCTTATCACCCTGGCCTGCCTTCAGCAAGAATCCTGTCAAGTTTATTTAGCCAAAATCTCCCTAGCCTTGATGTTTCTTTTTGGTAAGTTTCTATCCATGCACCCTCCCCTGCTCCTTCCTTATAAATTCCCATTGTGTTTATTGGAGTTGGAATTGAACTCAATCTCTCTTCCCTCCTACAAAACCCCGCTTGTAGTCGTTTCTCTGAGAACAATTTTCCTTAGGGTCTGTAACAAGTATCATGAATAATTATTTTTATTTACCAAGTGCAATAATTATATTATGACATAAGAAAATATCCTTGTTCTTAGAAGTACAGGCTGAAATATTTAGGAATGCAGTATAATGAAGTCTGCCACTAACTTGTAACTAATTTAGTTGTAAAACTTGTAAACAATTTAAAAATAATTACAATTATATACATATTATATGTGTACTTGTAAATATATATATACATACACAACACATACATATACACACGTATGTGTACATATAGATTTATGCAAGGGGAGAGAGATAGCAAGAGAGAAAGCAGAAGCATGTGTGGAAAAATACTAACAATTGAATATAGAATAAGTTCTTAAAAGTTTTTAAGTTTTACAAAATAAAAATTTGGAAAAAATAATTCTATAAACCTTGTGTGGGGTGAAAGGGAGTATTAGAGTAAGAATTTTTCTAGGAAGGCAAATACTGGCTCTCCCTACCTTTGATGTTTATTTTTATTGTGGAAAAAGCATATAACTTTATATTTATCATCTTAACCATTTTTAAGCATGCATTTCAACAATGTTAAGTATATTCATTGTGTGCAACAGACCTCTTCTAGAATGTTTTCTTCTTGCAAAACTGAAACTCTATACCCACTAAACACTAACTTCTCTCTCTTACCTTTTTCATACCTCTTGACAACCACCTTTCTACTTTGTTTCTATGATTTTGAGTGCCTTAGATACCTGCTACAAATTGAATCATACAGTATTTGTCCTTTTGTGACTAGCTTATTCACTAAACATAATGTCCTTGAGGTTTATCATTTTATGTAGCATAATAAAGGATTACTGTTTTTTAAAGTTTCATAATATTCCTATACATCTATGTGTATACCACATTTTCTTTATTCATCCATGGATGGACATTTGGATTGCCTCTGCCTCTTGGCTACTGTGAATAATGCTGCAATGAACAAGGATATATAAATATCTCTCCAAGATCTATCTTTGAAATCTTTTGGCTATATTCTCAGAAGTGGGATTATTGGATTTGAATTTTTTGAGAAAGATCCATTTATTTTTCATAACGGCTACACCATTTTTCATTCCTACCAACAGTGCACAAGAGTTCCAATATCTCCCCTTCCTCACTAATACTTATGTTTTCTTCTTTTGACAGTGACCACCCTAATAGATGTGGCTTTGATTTGTGTGTCTCTTATGTAATGTTAAGTATCTTTTCAGATGCTCATTGGCTATTTGTAAATCTTCTTCGAAGAAATGTCTATCAAGGTTCTGCCCATTTTAAAAATTGTGTTATTTGGTTTTATTGCTATTGAGTTATAAGAGTTCTTTATATATTTTGGATATTAATCTCTTATCAGATAGGTGATTTGGAAATATTTTCTCTCTTAAAATTGACTTTTTGGGGCCTCCTTGGTGGTGCAAAGGGTTAAGCACAGCACTGTGAAGATAACTGCAGCCTCTGCAGCATGAGTTTGAGCCCCTGCTGGCCAAGGAGCTACCCACATGGTGCAGCAGGCCTCTGCTGTCTTGCCCGCTGCTCCCCTCTGCAGTGTATTTCAGTCAGTCTGCCTGTTCTGTTCCCCACTTTGTCTCTGGTGAATCCTCTCACCCCCCCACACTTCTGGCCTATACCCTAGTTCTTGTATGCATAAATAAATAAATCTTAAAAAATAGAATAAAATTGGGCCTCCCCAGTGGCGCAGCGGTTGAGCGCTGGGTTGCGAAGCTGCCCGCAGCCTCTGCAGCGCCGGTTTGATCCCCAGCTGCTCCCCGGCCACCGGAGGAGGGTCCCACATGGCGCGCAGACCTCTCCTGCCGCCCGCTGCTCCCCTCAGCAGTGTACTTCGGTCCTTCTGCCTGCTCTGCTCCATGCTCTGGCTCTGATGAATTCTCTCACCCTCCCGCGCTTCTGACTGTTCCCAGTGCTTGTATGAATGTATGTATAAATCAATCAATCAATCAATAAATCTTTAAAAAAAAAATTGACTTTCACAATGTTGATACACAGAAGTTTGAAAGTTTCACAATTACCTTTTTTTTATTTTTTATTTTTTGTTTAAGATTTGTTTATTTATGCATATAAGAGAGGCCAGAGATGCTAGGGTGAGAGGATTCACCAGAGACAGAGTGGGGAACAGAACAGGCAGATTGACTGAAATACACTGCTGAGGGGAGCAGAGGGCAAGACAGGAGAGGTCTGCTGTGCCATGTGGGTGGCTCTCTGGCCAGGATCGAACTTATGCTGCAGTGGCTGTAGATAGCTTCATAGGTTGCGATGCTTAACCCCTTGCGCCACCAAGGAGGCCCCCTTTTTTATTTTTATATTTATTTATGCATACAAGAACTGGGGTACAGGCCAGAGGTGTGGAGTGTGAGAAGATTCACTAGAGACAAAGTGGGGAGCAGAACAGGCAGATCTATTGAAATACACTGCTGAGGGGAGCAGCAGGCAAAACAGGAGAGGTCTACTGCGCCATATGGGTTAGCTCCCAGGCCAGGGATGGAACTCACATTGCAGTGGCTGGTGATAGCTTGATAGCCCTGAGACTTTAAGCCCTGTGCCACCAGGGAGACCCCCATTCTTCTACACTTTATAAATGTATAGAAGGAAAAAAATCTGAGCAACTCTAATGGTACTGAGTAAGTGTTAATATAGAAAAGTCAATTGGATAGAAAGAACAATAACAATAAGAAGAATTTATTAGTTAATTTGCATTCCAAAACAAACTATAATATGTGGGCTCTTGCTTAGAATTAACATTGCAAACAAACTCACTTGCCACATACTATGCTGAGTTTTTCTGGGGTTGGGAGAAAATAGAAGAATGTCTTTGGTAATATGATAGTGGGAGACGGTACAAAACAAGAGATGTTTGGATTAATTTAATTAATGTCCTGTTGAATTTAAGAATATGGTGTCCTACATACGCACAAACATAGTTCAGTAGCAGATTTAAGGAAGCACTATTAGACTGCACCTGTTGGAGTCTTCAGTGAATCCAGTCCTTGTTTAAGGCTTCCAGTTGGAGCTGGCAGTTGTTCTAGGGATTAAATTATTTAAAGCCCTCAGCTGGCTAGTGCAGGCCAGCAGTTTAGAAAACACTTAGTCTATTTTTTAAAACCTGTTCCTAAGTTTGCTTTGCTTAGTTTGTAAGACTACTTGTACCACCCACCTGCCACATTCTGGAATCTTTTTGTCAGAGGGGGTAAATTTATCCAAGAGAAAAAAGACTTTAAGGAATATCTATACTTTAATACAATATACTTATTTTGAGCATAATTTGTCACAAATCATGTTTTGTTACACAACTAAAAACATATTGCTTAAATGTATTTTCAATGGAGATGTACCAAATTACTTATTTCAATAGCATCTTTCAAAGTTTTATGTTTTGTTATAGTTACAGAGGCTTTTGGTAACAAACAGTAGGTGGGCCTTTTCGATAGGAACTTTTTAAAAGGCAGCTCCATGTATATTTAGTAACTTGATAGCCCATTACTGTAAATTTAACTTCTTTTTTTTTAATTAATTTATTTATTTATACAAGCACTGGGTACAGTCAGAAGCATGGGAGGGTGAGAGAATTCACCAGAGCCAGAGCAGGGAGCAGAACAGGCAGACAGACGAAATACACTGCTGAGGGGAGCAGCGGGCGGCAGAAGTCTGCGTGCCATGTGGGACCCTCGCTGGAGGCCAGGGATCAAACCGGTGCTGCAGAGGCTGCAGGCAGTTCGCAGCCCAGTGCTCAACGGCTGGGCCACCAGGGGAGGCCCAAATTTAACTTCTTTTTAGAAAACTAGCATTACTTTATAAGTCACACTGTGCCTTGAAGTGACCTAACAAGAAGTCTGGATAAAACCCTCTGTGTAACTTTGAAGCAGAGGATTTATTAGTCATATCTACTTATATGTAATTAACCATTAGAGGGCTAACATATATTTTTCACTGACAAAACCTGCAAACATCTATCACCTTACTAGGGATTTTTAGTTTAGTTTAGGTCTCATCATCTGATCATTTTAATTTAGTAAAATGCATGATAGATTAAATTAATATGTTTCTAGGGGGAGAAAATAAGTATATTTCTGATATCATTCACTGCCTGAAGTTCTTTCTGGATGCTTCTAAATATAAAACTGTTATTTTTCCAAATTGTGGGACATGAAGCAAAATGACTATGGTGAGCATATATTCTCACTTCCTAGAATTTATATGCAGAATTTTTAAACAAACAAAACCCTATGAAATAAGAATAAGGTGTGGAATGTAAAAGTCTAAAACTTTTAGGTTAAAGGTCTCAAGATCTCTTATTTGTAAAACTAATAAATTTTTTTTCTTACTTATCCTCTCTAAGACTTTTTATTGCTTTATTATTAGGAGCTTATTTTGGGCATGACAAGATGAAGACAAACATTTTAGGTATGTAGTTGAGGAAGAACAGTTTAGGACAAACTGCTTCTTAACCAGAGAAAACAGTGGTTGACCTATTCTTGTGTGATGTCTTACTTGGCTGCCATAGAAAAGTGGACAAGGATTTCAAGCTAAATGGAGGTAATTCTTTGGTGAGTCAACTTGGGCAAATGAAACCGAACCTAAATATTTAAACCAGCTATATTATTGTGATTATTATTTAGCCAATTTTGCCATCAGGCAAAATTTCACAATATTTCCAATTTGGTTGCTTTAAAAATGTTATCATTGGCCAAAACTCTTAAGAAATGTCTCTATTCCAACATTTAGACCACCTCCCTCTCCCAGTCTCTTTCATATATCAGTAGGCTCCCTAGAGATTCGGCATTCATTCCTTTAGCCTTCAGCTGTCACCACCTGCTCTACTCTCTAGAGCAGCTCCTCCACCCCATCCCACCTAAGTCTGGTTTGGGTCTGACCCAGTTTCTTTAACATCCCTGCTTCCTTTCTGTCTTTGAAAATAAGTATGAAGGCTGTTTATATATTAAGAGAACAAAGTACTCGGATCAACCTACAATCCAGCTGTCTCTGCCTTTGTTATAAACATATCCTTTATGAGAGATTCATCGACTTTCTTGTGGCCGACTTCCCCCTAGAATCTGCAATAATAAAAATGGTGTGTTTATTGAACTTGAAACTCTTTTGCTTTTTCAGCTCATACCACTTTCCTTAGAGTATGTTTATTCCATACACAACGATTGTTGGCATGAATGGCTGTGGCACCCAGAAGGGCCATTGAATGGTGTTAAAAGGGAGTAAATGCTCATCATTGGGCTCTCCTGACCTTATAGTGACTAACCTGGTCACTGCAGGCATCTGAGTTTTCCCTTCCTACCTTAGATCTCTCTTAACTAAATGCTTATCAAGATCAACCAACCATGCCAATAAATTTCTCATGTGTACTATTGAAAGAGTACAGAAGAGTATGTGTTGGAGCCTTGACGTTCTATATCTTAGATGAGCAAGCATGACCCTCTCCACATGATTTTTATTTTATTTTTTTTTAATAGAGGCATGTTTATTTATTTGTTTGTTTGTTTGTTTGTTTTTTGTTTATACATGCACTGGGTACAGTCAGAAGCACGGGAGGGTGAGAGAATTCACCAGAGCCAGAGCGGGGAGCAGAGCAGGCAGAAGGACCGAAGTACACTGCTGAGGGGAGCAGCGGGCAGCAGGAGAGGTCTGCGCGCCATGTGGGACCCTCCTCCAGTGGCCGGGGAGCAGCCGGGGATAGAACCGGCGCTTCGGAGGCTGCGGGCAGCTTTGCAACCCAGCGCTCAACTGCTGCGCCACCGGGGAGGCCCTCTCCACATGATTTTAACTCTTTAGCTCTTTCACTCTTACCACACCCACATTAGAGGCGACAGGCTACAAACTGTGGCCTTACCTAAACTCTTACCCAGGTAAGGATTCAAGATTTTTTCCCTTCATCTGCTTTGAACCATCTCACATATTCTCTAATCCCAAATTGATTGATTTTGCATCTTGACTTTCTCTTATTTTTCCCCACTTGGATTTAATTATTAGGGTTCACTTTTCCCCTCTGGAACTGACCTAGTGACTCCATAGAATGCTACCTCTGGCAATTTCCTTTGAAATTTAGAGAAATTAGATGAAATCCCTTTCAGAGCAGCCATGTTGTTTATATCTCTTATCTTTATTTTATTTTTAATTTTTTTAGAAAGATTTATTTTATTTATTTATGCATATAAGAGCAAGGGCATAGGTCAGAGGTGTGGGGGCGGGGGTGTGTGTGAGTGGATTCACCAGAGATGGAGTAGGGAGTAGAACAGGGTATTGACTGAAATACACTGCTGAGGGGAATAGCAGGTGAGACAGGAGAGGTCTGCTGTGCCATATGGGTTAACTCCCTGGCTGGGAATTGAACTCATGCTGCAGTGGTTGCCAATAGGTTCATAGTGCTGAGATTTAACCCTTGCACCACCTGGGAGGCCCTGTCTCTTATCTTTAATGCCAGTATTGTGTTCTGTATGTAATTAGTGTGCACTCATCAAATTTTGCTGTTTTTTTTTTTTAAATATTAAATTTTATTTTTATATTCCCCCATACAATTGCAAACGCCCCATTCTGACCCCAATCCTTCCCCTCCCGCCCCCCACCCCCCAAAAAGTGTCTCTGGTTCATAGTTTTTTGTTGATTTTGATTTTCACTTTCTTTTTTATTTTTTATTTTTTTATTTTTTATTTTTTTTATTTTTATTTATTATATTTGTTTGTTTGTTTGTTTTGTTTATACATGCACTGGGTACAGTCAGAAGCGCAGGAGGGTGAGAGAATTCACCAGAGCCAGAGTGGGGAGCAGAGCAGGCAGAAGGACTGAAGTACACTGCTGAGGGGAGCAGCGGGTGGCAGGAGAGGTCTGCGCACCATGTGGGACCCTCCTCCGGTGGCCGGGGAGCAGCCGGGGATTGAACCGGCGCTGCAGAGGCCGCGGGCAGCTTCGCAACCCAGCGCTCAACCGCTGCGCCACCGGGGAGGCCCGATTTTCACTTTCTTATATTCATTTTCCTGGTCCCTTATTTAAGTTTTCTAGATTCCTGCTATGAGTGAGACCATCCGGTATTTTTCTTTTTCTTTTTGGCTTATTTCGCTGAGCATGATCCCTTCCAGTGCCATCCATGTTGCTGCAAATTGCATGTGTTTATCTTTTTTGAATGCTGAGTAATATTCCATGGTATATATGTACCACATCTTCTTGATCCAGTCATCTATTTTTGGGCATTTGGGTTGTTTCCAAAGCTTAGCTATTGTAAACAGTGCTGCTATAAACATAGGAGTGCAGGTGCTCTTTGGAATTGATGTTTCTGTGTCCTTTGGGTAAATACCTAGGAGTGGAATTGCTGGATCATATGGAAGCTCTATGTTTAGTAGGTCCAGAAATCTCCACACAGCTCTCCATAGTGAATGGTGATGGTGTTGAAGATTATGATTTGACAACTAGTTTTGCTTCAAGAAAGCTCTCCATAGTCTTCATCTTTGCAGTGATAAGAGCAGACTTAAAGTCAATCCACATGGGACAGCATGGTGCAGTGATTATGATCATGAACTCTGGAGCCAGACTTCCTGTGTTGTATCTTTGTTCTGTCCTTTTCTAGCTGTGGTCATTTACATAGCTTCTCTAGACCTCAGCTTCTTCATCTATAAACTGTGGGTGATGATACTTACTTTCTGGGGTTGTTAGGAGGATTAAATGAGTTAACAGTGCCCAATATATAATCAGCACAAAACTGTTTAAAAAATTATTTTTAAAATAAGGAACTGATTTACTTCACCATCCTAGGTAGTATTAAAGTATTATCATTTAGAACAGGTGGAAAATGTTTTTATGTGGCTAAGCCATGCTCCAGAATAAGTTCAATTTAATTTTACAGTTGCTTTGCCTAATACTGGATGCTTTAGTTTTAACTTGCAATCACTAATGGCAATCACTCACTGGGTAATTAACTGTGATGTGGGTTACTCTGAAGCTTAGCAATGAGGACTTTTTCCCCCCAAAGTTCTTCTAAAATAGAACTATCACATAAAATAAACGTTATGTATTAATTTAAATATAGTAGAGGCATTACAATGTTTGTCTTCATTTTTTCTACATACTTCTTTACAGATTGAGACTTGCTAATATATTGACAGTACCCTAAAAGTGAGTGATTAAAATAAATCATTGAACATCCTTATAATGGCCTACTATGCAGCTGTTTAAAAGAATGCAGTAAATTTATATATACGAATGTGGGACAGCCACCCAGCTATATTATGATAAAAAAGGAAAGTACAGAACACTATGTATGGTATGCACATACATGCTTTTGTAGCAATCCTATTAAATTGGTCACATTCAACATAAGGTATAAGTAAAGGTCAAATTTATTCTTGCATACAAGAACTGGGGTACAGGCCAGAGTCGTGAGGGGTGGGAGGATCCATCAGAATCAGAGTGGGGAACAGAACAGGCAGATCCACTGAAATACACTGCTGAGGGTAGCAGTGGACGAGTCAGGAGAGGTCTGCTGCACCATGTGGGTTGCTCCCTGGCTGGGGATCAAACTTGCACTGCACTGGCTGTGCATTGCTTCATAGGTTGCATCTTAACCCCTTGTGCCACCAGGGAGGCCCCAGTCAAATTTATTCTTTCCCTTCATTATACTGTTAAACCTTGGGGGCGTTTTGTGCAAGACCATAACTATTTTGTCACAGTAAATTAGAAGTCCCCTGAGCACTTTAATTTCCAGTAATAGTTTTCATTACTGTAATTAAATAGGCCATTCTAGGGAAAAAATGGAAACTCCAAATCCCTATGTAAATCAGAGCTTATCCTGTCTCCAGTTCTGTTCAACTTTAAGTGTAAAGAGGGGCGCAAATTGGAAGGCTTCTGGATCCCTCAGCCTTGGTTTTCCACTGCCTATCCTTTGCTTCTCTAAGTATCTCTGGCTCCTTTGGGGTTGAAAAAAGAAGTGAAGAACAGAAATGGTCACAGGTGACTAACAAACAGGTAACTCTAGTTGGGGCCTGCAAGGAAGTAGTGAATTCCAGTTCTGGTTCTTGATTTCTTTTTTTTTTTTTAAAGATTTCTCATGCTTTATTTATTTATTTATTTTTCCTTAAAGATTTATTTATTTATTTATGCAAGCACTGGGTACAGTCAGAAGCGCGGGAGGGTGAGAGAATTTACCAGAGCCAGAGCGGGGAGCAGAGCAGGTAGAAGGACCGAAGTACACTGCTGAGGGGAGCAGCGGGCAGCAGGAGAGGTCTGCGCGCCATGTGGGACCCTCCTCCAGTGGCCGGGGAGCAGCCGGGGATAGAACCGGCGCTTCGGAGGCTGCGGGCAGCTTTGCAACCCAGCGCTCAACCGCTGCGCCACCGGGGAGGCCCTCTTTTATGATTTTCTGAGCGATCCCTCAACTAGAAACCTGCAATTGCAATTCCTGTGAGATGGTTGATGCTTTTCTCTGGCAGACCTTTAGCCCTCGGGTGTATGATGAATTTTTTTTTCTCTCTCTCATTGTCTCTCCTCTTAGCATCCCATTCTCCCAGCATTTAATCAGGCAATGTTGTTGTTTTTAAAGCCATTTTCACTTTCAAGCTGATGTTTACCCATAAATCCACTTGTCCCTCATGGCAGTAGACTCACTCTTAGGGATACTTGGCCTCTTCATTCTCGATATCTTTAGTTCTAAGTCACATCTTCTCACCTTCCATTTCCCAGGAGTACATCATAAACCATTCCACCATGTCCCCCCAAACTCTCAGGGGTGCTATATCCAATCTAGACCTAACAGTGGTCTCTTTGAAGACTTCTTTTTGTTTTAAGGTTAAGGGTAACACCATCCTTCTGCCCCGAGGGATATGAAGAAAACACACAGGAATAACAAAACCCTCTTCAAAGAAAATTCCCCCTCTTCAGCTTTAAGCGTTTTATATTCTCAAGATTGGCTGCAATTCGCAAAACCAATATTCGAGTCTTGCTTTCTTAAGTTCTGTTTGGAAGGTTGCCACTCTTTTTGGAATGTGAGTGCATGTGGTATCTATTGTTTTCTCCTAACCTTTGAGACTGCAACTGCAACTAAGATAGAAAGAATCTCATTATAATATCCTAATAATTTATATATTCAGAGAATACTTCTTCAAGGATATTCAAGAAACAAGTTTTTTTTTCTAAATATTTATTTATGCAGGGGCCTCCCTGGTGGCACAAGGGGTTAATACGCAACCTATGAAGCTATCCGCAAACACTGCAGCAGGAGTTTGATCCCTGGCCAGGGAGCTACCCACATGGCACAGCAGACCTCTCCTGACTCGCCTGCTGCTCCCCTCAGCAGTGTATTTCTGTCCATCCACCTGTTCTGTTTCCCACTCTGTTTCTGGTGAATCTTCTCACCCCCCACACCTCTGGCCTGTACCCCAGTTCTTGTATGTGTAAATAAATAAATCTTAAAAAAATTGTAAAATTATTTACGCATACAAGAACTGGGATACAGACCAGAGGTACAGGTGGGGGGCGGTGAGAGGATTCACCAGAGACAGAGTAGGGAACAGAACAGACAGATGGATTGAAATACATTGCTGAGGGGAGCAGCGGATGGGTCAGAAGAGGTCTGCTGTGCCATGTGGGTCACCTCCCTGGCTGGGGATCGAACTCATGTTGCAGTGGCTGTGGATAGCTTCATAGTGCTGTGTGTTAACCCCTTGTGCCACCAGGGAGGCCCCAAGAAACAAGTTCTTGCCTCCAAGGAGCTGAGGAGCTGGGAAAGAAGGCTATTGAAGGAGATATTTCACAAGGCTTTTGAATTTGGTAACATGCATTTATTGCCTATTCCATTTATATAATAAATATAATAATGTTGTGCTAAGACTCTACCTCTGGTAAAGTCAGAGCAAAACCACACTAAAGAATGATGTTTGTTTTGTAAGGACAGCATTATATCTCAAGGCACAAAGTGAAGAATTGAAGCAATTATACAAATTGCAAGCCAGGAAGGCACTTTAATTCTCCATATATCTTATTTCTGTGTTTTGTTTAAGCTAAATTATATTGTCTCAGTTCTTCACTGATAAATTATGGTTGACTTGGCTTTACTTAAATTCAGTTTAACGTCTGATTTTGAGTCACAGAAGAGTAAAATTGGAAGGAAACAAGAATTGTTGACTGTTCATCAGGTCATGGATGAAGAAGCTGAGGACCTCACAGTGCATCATCACAGCAGAAACATACTCTACTAAGCCTTCTAGAGTGCAATACCCCCTGCCTGTTTTATGTGTGGCATGTATGTGCACCTGTATGTGTGTGTGTTGTTTTCTTCTTTTTTTATTTTTAAAGCAAGTCTTGAAGATAAACAAGAGTATACTGTGCTGTATAATCCAGTGACAATCATTGTTCCTGCCTTGTGCAACCCTTAGGGTAGAACTCAATACTTTATATCCCAACAGAAAATTCATCTATAAGGCACTAGAGGGAAGGTTTTGCAGAGAAGATGGATTACAGGGTTGCATCATATAACACACAGTAAAATTTAATAAAAATCCCCATTTACTAGTTCTATTCTCTCCCCAAGTTCATCTTGGAACACCAGCTACCTCTTTTCCCTTCTAAGCCTTTTATCATATGGCCTGGTCAGATCTACCTGATTACAATTGGTTTTATAGTCCCTGGGATCTTCCTTTCAAACCCCTAAATCTCTTTTTTTCTCCTGCATAGCAATTTCGCTGTCTTCTGGTTTCTTCAGTTTTGTATCTTTATAGTAGAGATCCTGCTCACCTAATAATACATTTCCACTAGAAGAAAGCAAATAATATAATAAAAAAACCTTCTTTGTCTCAAAACAAAAATTTTTCCTGTCGCATTACAAGAAAGCACAATAAATAAACCAGAATCTGCGTTCATATGTTGAGGACATTTAGTGTCACAAACTCCCAGAATATTAGAGGTAGAAAGGATCTGATTTAGCAGATGAAGAAACAGACCTAGAACAAGAACAAGGCTGTTAGCTGCCTTCCAAAATCTTTTCCCCCTTCTTCCCAGTAGTAGAGTTGCAGCTTGGTGTAGCCACATGACTAAATTCTCACCCATGGAATGGGAACAGAGGTGATTTGTACAGCTTCCAACTTACTTGCCTAAAAGGAACTTGCATGTTCTTTACTTCCTCTGTTTCCATCTTTTCTTGAACTGAAAATCAGACTTGACAGTGATGCAAGTCAGACCATTCAGAAGAAAGCAATGACCTACTATTTGCAACTCTCACTCTAGTCTGTGGGCTTGTATCTTCAATATCACCACTTGTTAGAAAGAACTTGTTACACTAGGCCTCACCCCAGATGTACTTAGTCAGAGTCTGCAATTTAATAAGATATGGTTCACATTTATATTAAAGTTTGGGAAAAGCTTCCTAGAGGCTATCAAACCTGTAAGATGAAAAGATTCAGGGACCCTGATTGTCAGAAGCTGAATAATCCTGACAGCCATCTACTTATTCTCCCCTTACCCTATTTTTAAATTCATGGTAAAATACACATAGCATAAACTTTACTATCTTAGTTATTTTTAAGTGTACATACAGTTCAGTGGTATAAGTATATTCATATTGTTTTACAGCTGTCATCACCATCCATCTCTAGAACTCTTTTCATCTTGCATGGTTGAAACTCTGTGCTCTCTGAATAATGCTTCTTCATTGTCCCTGCCCCTCAGACCCTGGTAATTAACATTTGACTTTCTGCTAGACCTGCCTACTTTTAGATTCTTAAGAGAGAGAAGTAGAGAGAAAAAGACCTTGTATTTAATTTATGTCATTGTATTTTGAAGTTTACTGCTCAGATTCCTCTCCTTTAGGAGTGAAACACTCATTTCTTTAGTTGCTCAGAGTATTGGCAGATGATAGCCCTATTGGAGTCCCTCTTCAGAAATTGTCCTTGGCTGAAGAGAGATACCTCATCCAAAGTTTTTTTCAGGGTCAATTAGTCCATATTCACTGGATGCAGTGGTCAATGCAAGTACTGGTCCCTTTGCCCCAGTTTGGAATAATTTGAATCATTCTAACTGCAAAGCTTCCCTTGAATTATTGTGATTGCATCATATTTCACCTTTTCCCTCTAATTCTGTTTCCTTTGCTCCCCCACAGGGTTGATCTTGTGACTACTCCTTAACAAACCTTCATTTGGTAGCCTCGGCATAGGAATAAGAGCTTCTTGTTGAGGAAGACCATTCCTCTAACTCTACTATCCAAGATAGTAACAAAAATAATATATTCTGAGGGTAAGGACAGATTGTTGGCCTCATAAGGCCATTCTTATATGAGACCTAGAGGGTGCACTTTGGTGGTTCTCACACTATCTTAATTTCTAAGAACTGCCAAAATATCTTCCAGAGTGTCTCTACAATTTTGCATTCACACCAGTAATGTTTAAGTACTCCAGCTTATCACTTGTGTTGTTTTTAAGTTTTTCTAATATGCATTTTCTAATATGCAATATTAAGTTAAGTTTTTAAATTATTCTAATATGCATTTAGATGTGTCTCAGCATGGCTTTTAAGTTTCATTTCATTAATGACTAATAATGTTGAGAACCTTTTCATTTAAGGGGGTTATTATGAGCTATGTGTAAAAAGATCTCTTTGTGACAGCATTATTTATAACGAGAGATTTTGTCAACAATGAAGTATGAAAAATATGGTTCAGGTTAAATTAAATATGATTTATACAAATAATTAATAATTATAGTCATAAAATTATGTCTTTGAAGAATACTTAATGGCTTGGAAAATATTCCAAAAAATGCTAAGAGAAATGTTAAAGGACACATATATAGATAGAAAGACATCTATGCTCATAGATTGGAAGATATAATATTGATTAGGTGTCAATAATACCAAAATTGATCTTTAGATTTAAGGCCATTCCGGTCAAAATCTATCTATCTATCTATCTATCTATCTATCTATCTATCTATCTATCTATCTATCTATTTATTTTTTGTATCCAAAACTTGTTTATTAGAATGGTTTCTCATTAGGGCCTTCCCGGTGGTGCAGTGGTTGAGCACTGGGTTGCAAAGCTGCCCGCAGCCTCTGCAGTTGCCGGTGTGATCCCCGGCTGCTCTCCGCCACCAGAGGAGGGTCCCACATGGAGGGTCTCCTGCCGCCCGCTGCTCCCCTCAGCAGTGTACTTCGGTCCTTCTGCCTGTTCTGCTCCCTGCTCTGGCTCTGGTGAACTCTCTCACCCTCCCGCGCTTCTGACTGTACCCAGTGCTTGTATAAATAAATAAATAAATTTTTTTTAAAAAAAAAAAAGAAGTTAATTCTCAATCAAGGAAACTTAAACTATAGCAATAAAATATTTTAATCCATCAAACTGACAAAGATCAAAATCATTTACAATATCAACTTTTAGTGACTATTCAGAGGATATGGCCACTATTCTACTCTATTGCTGGACCTGTACAATATTCAAGATTTTTTGAAAACCACAGAGGCATTTTTCTATAAAATTTTAAAATTCACATATACTTTGACCAAAATCCCTTATTTCTAAGAATCCATTTCTAATAAATACTATCACATATATAGGTATGTATATGTAAAGATACTCATTGCTCTGGAGTTTTGAAATAACAAATAAATATGGAAGTGATGTAAATGTCTATCAATGGTAAATAATCCAGACTATAATAGTATGCTGTAGTTACAAGGAATCCATTAGATCTCTATGCATTAACCGGCAAAAAATCTTGAAGAAACATGCTGAAAGGAGAAGAGAATGGGGAATTATAAAGTTATACAAGAAAAAGATATTTGAATGTGTTTATGTATACAAGTGTATATATAGAATTCACATCAGACTGTTGAGGGAGGTTTTTCTCTGGAGAGAAAGAAGAATTTGAAGGAAGAAGAGTGATTTTTATGTTTTGCTCTGTATATGTCTTTATTTCTCTAAAGCGTCTTTTACAATAAGAATGTGTTCATGAAAAGACTTTAAAAAAACAAAAACATTTAGACAGTAATGTTTTAAATTGAAGAAGTCAATTGAATGCCCAGGAAGGGAGATAAGATTTATTTTTTTAAATGAAATAATCTTTTCTAAAGTCAGAATTCTGAGGAAAAAATGGAATAAGATGCTTGGCAGAATTGCGAACAAAATGTCTTTTTCATGTTAGTGACTCAAAATAAATGGATGTTTTTATAAAGTACATTTAAATAGGAATGCAAGGTACATTTGATGTTTACATGTTTATTTTGGAGCCCATTCACTTACTATAATTCTCATCAGTCCACAGTATGTTCTAGCCATTTCAATGAAGCTTTTTATTGAAGCTGATATGCTTATTAGCACATAATTAGTGTATTAGTCAATTAATGTTTAGAACTCAAGAACATGTTATTTTGCAAAAATGTGATAAAATTTTAATGGCGAGAAATTATATTAGGATACTTTCAGTTGCAGGTAATAAAATACCTAACAAAGGTTTGCTTAAAATAGCATTTCTAAGTATCTTACTGGCATTTGGGCAAGACTGTTTCACCCAGAGAGGATGTTTATCATCTTTTACCTTGGCAGCAAATGCTACTGCTTGCTCCCAGTCACTGAATAAATCAAAATTATCTCCCTCCCCTGCACATTTCCAAATTCCTAGTTTTGTAGAACATACGTTGGCTGAGAACTACTATCTTAGTTAAGAAATTCATTGTTGTTATGTAAATTTAAGTTGCAGTTGCTCAAAGTTGATGCAGTAGCTCAAAGATGTGATAAAGAACTCAGGATCATATTTTTGAACTTGCTATGTATAGTATGTTTTCACCTTCAGACCAGTCTCCTCAGCTCCAGGGCTAATGTCCTCAAACAACTGTTGAAAGGCAGGAGAAGGGCAATTTTTTTCTTTCATCAGAAGTAAAAAGCCTTTTCAGAAATTCTTTAACAGACTTCCTGACTGGTCTCATAATGAGGATTGAATAGTTGCCCATGCCCTCCTTACCTGCAGAAGAGGATGGGGAGAGTGATATCTGGCAGTGATATCTTTAATTTCCATAAAGGGAGGCAGCCTCAGTGCATAGTGAATGACTTAATATTCTAAAGCCTCAAACTGACTGAATGAAGAAAAAGATACTTGATTTCCCAGTAAAGGTAGTGTTTGTAGTCTAAAGTTCCAAAGATTATTGGTATTGTTCCTTTACATCATCATACTCCATTAACTTTTTTAAAAAGAAGCCAGCTTGATCCAGTTGGAACTGGTTCAGGTCAGTTTGAGATGGTTGAAGCTGGTTGGATCCATTTCCAGCTGCTTTGGACCGGCTGGATCCAGTTCAAGCCAGTTTGAACTGATTGGATCCAGTGGAACTGGTTCAAACTTTAAAATTTTTAAAAATATATTTATTTATTTATGCATACAGGAGCTGGGGTGCAGGCCAAAGGTGTGAGGGTGAGTAGATTCACCAGACACAGAGTGGGCAGCAGAACAGGCAGATCTACTGAAATACACTGCTGAGGGGAGCAGTGGGCAATCGAATTCATGCTCCAGTGGCTGCAGATAGCTTCATAGTGCTGAAAATGATCCCCTGGAGCCACCAGGGAGGCCCTGGTTCAAACTGTTTTGAGCCTATTCAAACCAGTTCCATATCTTTGTTTTGGTGGACATATTTGAAGGTAAGATTAGCAGGATGTCCAGATAGACTAGATGTAGGACTCCCAGGGTTTCATCCTGAGCAATTGGAAGGATGGAGTTACTATCAACTGAGATGGTCAAAATTGTGGGTAGAGCAAGTTTGGGACAGGATATCAGAAGTATTACCTTGGACATGCTAAGTTTGAAATGTCTACAAGACATTCAAGAAGAGATGTCAACTAAGTAGTTGGCTATATGATCCTATAGCTTTATACATAGGTCTTGATTAGGAATACAAATTGCATTAAATCAGTACTGTCAATAATGGGGATGATTTTCATTACCTCTAAGGCATGCTGATTCCCAGTTTAACCTTTTATTTTAGTAAAGTTGAGATTTTCATTAATACACTTTGAATTTTATTTATAGTATAAACAAAATAATACAAGGTTAGAGCAAAATTTTGAAAGAAAGAATAACCTAATAATCTCACTCTCTAACCATACTATTTTTATTTTTTTCCATGTGTTTTCCTTTTGTCTCATTTTCAAAATGTAATTTAAATTAGTTGAATCATGGTGTATGTATACATATGTATCCTGGATACTTTATGTAACATTATCCCATAAGCTATTTTCTGAGTTGTTACATAGTTTCCATGTTTATAATTATTAGTGGTTGCAAAAGAATCCACATTTATTTGTCCCCTTTGCTATTGTTGCTCATCTAGCCTGTTTGTTAACCTGTCACTCATAACTGGGGCTGTGATCTTATGGATTTACAATATTTTTTCTGCTAAGATATAGAGGGCAGAATTACTGGGTCAAAGGATACAACATTTTTTTTTATATAACTCATTGTTTAATGCCAACTTGTGAAAAGGTTGTGCCAATTTACAATGTCAAAGCTTGGATTTTTTTTTTTTATAGGAAAATGGAGTAAAATTAGATATCTGAAACTAGAATAATTTATAAAGTAGAGATCTTAGTCCCATTTTCCCCCCCTTAGTTCTTTTTTAGTGAGAACTCTATGCATGCATATGGGTGGTTTAAGCAAGGCTACAAAGCCTCAACTTATTTTTTTTAGCCTACGTGGTCTCTATGTTACACTTAAATTTCAGCTTGATTTAGGATTTGCTTGTTGCTAGGCATGGTGAATGCTGTTGTGCAGTTTTTGTTACTTTTACTAGAATTTATTTTAAAAATCATCTTCTAATTAAAAGACTCTTATTTTCCACTTTAAATCTTACTCTCTTATTCAGATGTTCTAGTTTTATATCTGATTCCTTTTAATGTACTGGGGAATAATCAATGATTTAATCTGGCCCCACCCCCATTGCCCTAGCCTAGGTTAGCTATTCAAGATATTTAAGAGATAGAATTAACTGGCCTTGGTGATTAACTGAATATCTAATCCCTCTCCTCTTAAAGGGTGAAGAGAGGCAGGCACAGGATTGGATACCAAAATAAGACAAGCTGGTTCAGACTGGACTGGTTAAACTTCAAGGTAACATTCAAGCAGGAGCAGTAAAAGCCAGTATACCAGTTTATTCAGTCCAATGTTGCTTAAAAAACTACTCCAAAATTGAGTTAAACCCCCAATCATTGTTCTTCCTCTCCCTTCTCTTTTCCGTTTTCCTCCTGTCTTGAACAACTCAGTCCTGAGGCTACTAGATAGGGCTGAGTAAGGTGGTATTCATGCCTCACTGAAAGGGGAAGCGGCAGAGAGGCCAGATCAGGGTCTGACCACTGTGGGTGGTATTGCCTGGGTAGAGTAAAGAGGTGTCTGCTCAGGTTGTAGTCCAGTTTAGATTCAAAGCTGGAGCAGGATAGAAGACCTGTGGAAGGGAGGGGAAATTGGCAGAGATTGGGCATGGATTACATACAGGGACATTTGTAAAATAATTATATTGAAGATAGCCCAGGCTGTTACCTGCACTTCTGATCTACTGACTGTGATGAGCCAGGATTTCCCATAACCACCTCTTTAATAGAGGCATGTTTTTTATTATTTATTTATTTATTTATTTTGTTTTTGTTTATACATGCACTGGGTACAGTCAGAAGCGCGGGAGAGTGAGAGAATTCACCAGAGCCAGAGCGGGGAGCAGAGCAGGCAGAAGGACCGAAGTACACTGCTGAGGGGAGCAGCGGGCGGAGCAGCGGGCGGCAGGAGAGGTCTGTGCAACATGTGGGGCCCTCCTCTGGTGGCCGGGGAGCAGCCGGGGATCGAACCGGCGCTGCAGAGGCCGCGGGCAGCTTCGCAACCCAGTGCTCAACCACTGTGCCACCGGGGAGGCCCCATAACCACCTCTTTAGACTTGATTAATTTGTTAGAGCAGCTCGCAGTACTAAGAGAAATATGCATATGCAAGAACAGCCAGATGGGAGAGTTGCATAAGGCAAGGTATGGCAAAAGGGTGCAGGGTCTCCATGTTCTCTGTGCATGCCTCTCTCCTAATACCAAGTATTCATTAATCCAGATGTTCTCCAAACCATATCCTCTTGGGGTTTTATGGAGCCTCTATCACATAAACGTGATTGATCAACTTAGTGACCACTGGTGATTGACTCAGCCTCCAGATCTTCTCCCTTACCCAGCGGTCAGGGGTGGAACTGGATGTTCCAATCTTCTAATCACCTGGCTGGTTTTCCTGGCAATCAGCCCCAGTATTTTCAAAAGTCACCTCATTCATTTAATAAAGACACCTTGCCTTTTCCTAAAAAAACCAACAAGATTGGAAAATGGAGTAGATGAAGAAGTGATCCTTCATAAGTGGAGTGGATATCAGCTAATAGCTGATAGAGTAGTTCAGCACCCAGAAGCAGTGGTGGCTGAACAAAATCTTGGCAGAAGCAGTACTCTCTGCTGAAGCTGCTGTACAAGGCCAAGAAGGAAGAACTGCCCATGGAGAAGCCCACGGAGGTGAAGACACACCTGTAGAACTTGATCATCCTGCCCAAGATGGTGAGTAGCATAGTGTGCATTGATAATGGCAAGATTTTTAAAAAAGATTTATTTTTAGTTATGCATATAAGAACTGGAGTGTAGGCCAGAGGTGGAGGAGGGGGCCGAGAGGATTCTCCAGAGATAGGGTAGGGAGCAGAACAGGTGGATCTACTGAAATACACTGCTGAGGGGATCAGCGGGCGAGACAGGAGAGGTCTGTTGCACCATGTGAGTAACTCCCTAGACAGGGATCAAACTCATGTTGCAGTGGGCGACAGCTTCATAGCGCTGAGACTTCAACTCCTGTGTCACCAGGGAGGCCCCCTATAATGGCAAGATTTTGACCAGCTAGAAATGAAGCCTGAAATTGACTACTGTCTGGGTGTGTTCCATCACCAACAAGCCTGTGTGGCACAGCCAGACTAGCATCAGGCCCACCAACTCTCCCTGCTTCAATTCTTCCTGGTTTCAAGTAGCCTGGTCAGCAAAGGCACAGACTTAAATGAATTTTATTTTATTTTTTAAAGATTTACTTAAATACATTTTAAAAAGACACTTCTATTATTCTCAGCACACAGGAATTTCCAACTGTTTTGAGAGATGTGAATCAGGAAATGTGGGCAAAGACCAAATATGTAGGAGAAATATATTTTGGTCATGTAAATGGCCAAATATATATTTTTGTTATGAATCACAATATTGCACATCTATATATTCCCTAGTTCTTCCTGCTGAGAGGACATAGGAACAGCAACACCCACAAGCAATGAGCAAAATGCCCAAATAATGGCTTCTAAATACCGTTCTCCTCTAAATGAAACAAGAGTTCTTTGAAGAAATGACTGATTACAGATTAAAAGAAATGTCTGATTGCAGGTTGGTGCAGAGGAAGTGAAAGATGAAGCTGGACTATATTGTGTAAGGAAGCTGGGAAGTGTTCAAAGAATGAGGAAGGTAGGTCAAAAAGCACAGAAGGTAGCATGAATAGGCTTCTACTAGACAAAGAGGGAAAAATTAAGCATCTAAATAAAATAATAACAGCAACAGGTTATAAACCTTTGAATAAAATGAAAACTGAAAGTTCATATTGTTGTACATAAATGATTAAATTGAGAATTTGACAAATAATAGTTTCAAAACCCACTTACAAAAATTTTTTTTTTTAAGATTTATTTATACAAGCACTGGGTACAGTCAGAAGCACGGAAGGGTGAGAGAATTCACTAGAGCCAGAGTGGAGAGCAGAACAGGCAGAAGGACCGAGGTACACTGCTAAGGGGAGCAGCGGGCGGCAGGAAAGGTCTGCAGGCCACGTGGGACCCTCTCCTGGTGGCCGGGAATGGAACCGGCACTGGAAAGGCTGCGGGCAGCTTCGCAGCCCTGCGCTCAACTGCTGTGCCACCAGGGAGGCCCCCAAAATATTATTACATACCTGATGGGACTATCCAAATATTACCTCAATTAAAAAGAAATACATTAAAAATAATAAAATAAAATTCATGTTTTAAAATTTTTTAAAAAATGTTTGTTACAAAGCAGAAAGGAGTAACTTCACTGTGAAGTGTGGTAGACACTACCTTTTTCAAGTGATCACAATGAATATCACCAATAATGAGAAAAAATTGTTTGCCACTTAATACGTCGTAGCAAGAATATAGCATTACTGCAGTCAGAATCCTGCCAAGGGGCCTCCCTCGTGTCACAAGGGGTTAAGCAAGAACTGTGAAGCTATCCGCAGCCTCTGCAGCACGAGTTCGATCCCTGGCCGGCTGGGAAGATACCCACATGGCACAGCAGACCTCTCCTGTCTTGCCCGCTGGTCCCCTCAGCAGTGTATTTCAGTCAATCCACCTGATTCTGTTCCCCGCTCTGTCTCTTGTGAATCCTCTCACTCCCTGCATCTCTGGCCTGTACCCCAGTTCTTGTATGCATAAATAAATACATCTTTCAAAAATAAAATAATGTATGTGAAGGAAAAAAAAAGTAAAAAGTAAAGTATTTGCAACATAAGCCCCTCTTAATAGTGTACTCAATCATTTTTGTTACTTTATTTAATGTTTATTTAATGTATGTATAAATGGACAAAGAGTTGTAAAGATACACATTAAGCTATTAACTATGGTTAATTTTGACCAAGAAATTATGAATTGTCAGAAACTTTTGAGAAAAATAAAAAACAATTCAACGAAGTCAAGCTATATTTCTGAAGAAAAAGGACCTAACTTGAAATGACTGAGACTAAGGAGCTGCAAGTCATAAACAGTATTTCTGGCACTCTGAGGCACCCAGGCTGCTGATTTTTAAAGATTTTTTAAAGGATAATTTTACATATTAGCTCCCCACTATAGAACTGTATAATGCAATATTGCTTCTGTCTACCAAGTGAGTTTCTTTTGAAAGTCAGCCAGCCTTATCAAAACCAGGTTTAACTACCAATTCTATTGTTTACTTTTTCTTACCTTTCCTTCATAAAGTGCATGAGAAATTTTAAATACTTGCTTGACTCAACAGAACTTTCTTGTATTCTGTTCATATAACCAGTGGTGTCAAGTAATTGAGTAAACATTAAATAAAGTAACAAAAATGATTGAGTACACTATTAAGAGGGGCTTATGTTGCAAATACTTTAAAATAAAAGCCTAAACTCTTCCAATAACTCCTGACAAGTCCATAAGAATTTAATAATTGTTTGAGGGAAGGATTTTACACTCAACTTTATATTAATGCTAGACTAGAATTTAAGTTGTCATCAGCTTTGCTGAGCAGACACTGTCAATGTAAATAAAGAAAAGGGGAAGAAAAGAGAAAGGAGGGATTTAAAAACCATATAACAATGTTTTCTATCAAACCACAAAGTTATGCGATTACCTTTTTTTTTCTTTCTGAAAAGGAGTGTTAAAAATTTCAAATATTAGGTAGCTAGGGTCACTGAAGGTTTCTTTAACATATTTAGTGAAATTTGTGCTCTAAAGTGTTTTAAGTCACGTGCTATGTATATTTAAATTTTAGATGACCCTCCATGCTACTTAAAATCAGCACTTTAATCCATTACAGGACTTCATTGCTGGCCCCATTTTGTCACTGTCCTGTAATGACTGCCATATGAACTGACATTTTAGTCAACATGAATAAACATAGCAACAAATATTTACTCTTAGGGAAACTCTCACACATGGGAGACCCCGAAGAAAAAGAGAGCTTGAGTTGGGAAATAATTAAGTTTCTGTATTTAAAAAAAAAAAAAAAAGACACAGAACTACGTTTCAGGCCTCTTTTGCCATGTCCAAAGTCCCTAGATATAGCTGTTGGTTCACAAAAGATTATAGTTGTTGACTTTAAGAAAACTTACTCTGACATGTGTCCTTAGAGACATGTTTCCCAGTCCTGATTCCCTGAGACGCATATAAAAATAGAACATGACCAAAATGTGTTGCAGAAACAAACTTCTGGAAATATGCAATATTAGGCTGTGCTTTTTTACCCTTTCTACCCATAGCCTCAGTACAACTACATACATGGAATTGTAATTTCACCTTAAGTTTTCACTAACACTCTGGGAACAAAGATCTGTTTAGGCATTTAATTTTATAGTATTTGGACAAGAGTTCTTTCTCACTTGGTAGTGCTTTCTCACAAAAAATATTCAGGAGAGTTCAAATTTGACTTTTAACTTCTACTAATAGTAATAAGTACCCATTTTAAAAGACGTATTAAGGCATAGTTTTAAATGTTCATTTTCTCTTTAATAAAATTTCATGGAATGATTTAGAGAGTACTTTTATTTGTTTTCCTTACTATGTAAAGATCCAATTCTTTAAAGGTTTCTAGTTTGAGTAAACATAATTTTCATTCAGAATAATCAATGAAATAATGAATGTTTCTTTCCATTCTGCCAGTATTTATATACCTATAGCACTGTAGTTAAGAGATTTTGCTCTGGCTTCCAAAAATTTTGTTTCAACCCCCGCCTTTAATATTTGCACACTGCATTGTGATTTCAACTTTCTGTACCTCAGTTTACTTAGTTCTAAAAAGGGGGGAGTGAGATCTGTCCACATGGAGTGATTGTGAAGATCATACTGTATAATTCTTAGCACTGTTTCCCTAACATAAAGTAAATCTTAGGCAACAGTGCCCAACGTTGTGTTAAACTTTGAGCCACAAGGAAATGTTCCGGTTTCCAGAGTTTGAAATTTTAAGCAAATCAGTTTGCACTAAGATAATTAAGCTAAGTGATAACATCTCTATGTTCAAAAGGAATTCAGAAAAGGGCAAAATCTTTGCAATTAAAGTTCTGGGAAAGTATTTTATACGGGAGTTAACTCTGCACTAGACTTTGAAGAATAAGTAATGATACTAACAGGACCTTTTGTAAAATGGAAGTGACTTTGAGCACTTTTTCACCTGAGGACTTGGAGATTCATTCATATACAGCTATTTTGATTATATGAAATATTTACAATTGTTTGAAATGCTTAATTGCTTTATAAATGATGACACTAATAATCTAATTAGAGAAAATCCAATTAAATGGTAAGCACTTAATTAAAATTCTTTCAGATTTGAACAACAAACTAGTTTACTACCTACTAATAAGTTCTCAGCATGAATATGCCTTTCTTCATTCATCTTTATGGCAAACTTGTATCTGTCATACAGCTAAAGTGCCAAGTTTCACCACAGAGTTACAGGTATTCAAAACCAAGGAAGATATTGTTGGGAAGTTCATTTAGTGTTCAGTTGGTGGTACCATATTATGAACCTTCATAACATATTATAATTTCAAAAAAATATAGGAGGCCCAAACTGAAGAAGATCCTTTACAAACATTTAGACTTACTTGAACTTTCTTTGTGTTTAAATTACAACAGGAAACAAGGTCAGATTGTCTTAAAGACCTAAGTAATTCAGGAAGGTGCATTAATTCTTTCATGCTTCCCTCCACCCCTAGAATCCCATTTGATGTTATCTTCTTACTTATCAAATTGCCTACAAAATGGGAAAACAGTATATATCCTTAAGTGTGATTCCAAGGATCAGGCCAACACAAATTGAAAAACAAAGACAGCATATTGCCACAACCTTTGTCAAAAACATCTAGGTTTTTAAAAAGCACACTTTGCCATGTTTAAGTTCCCCAGTGAGTTCATACAGCTTCCAGAACTATCTCATACTCCCAAGTTTTTCTACTATTATAGGTACTACACATTCTTCTGACTCTTTCCCTCTCCAAACAGTGTCCCTTTGGGCTCATTAAAACTTATCTGTCTCTTGTCTTATAACTTTAGGGTCTTACTTTAGGTGATTGTCTTACAACAATCACCTCATTTAATAAAACAATTGTAATAGATTATCAAAAGTTGTTTCCCTTCAGTATTTTACTGAAAGCACTATCTATTACTAGTAGTATTCAAAATTTTGAAACTCAAGATCACTGTCATTCTTGGAAAATTCTCTTCCAAATGTCGACTCTAATAAGTTGTTTTACCCCTAGTGAATCATGGAAATGACAGCTACTTTTATGAAACATCTATAATGAGATGGAATAAAGAACAACCTGGGCAAAATTTAGATCTGTTAAATGTATTTGCAGCTCAGAACTCTATTGTTAATTTGCACAACATGTTCTAATGGCAGAATGACTTCCTAAATTTGAACTTGAAGTTGACAAAGAGAGAAGCAATCTGACACCTCTGTTGCAACCAGCCTATTTTCAACAGTCAGGAAAACAAACTCAAATAAAACTTATCTCTGAGTTTTTAGTAGAGTACAAGAAAGAGGATGATGTCATTTTTCCTTTCTCGTCCTTTTAAAGCTCTCTGAGGCCATTTTCTGGGAGGTTTGTACTGTAGTTATCATGCGCGTGGTTGGCAGTTAGATCTTATAGGAATGCCTCAATGTCTGAAAATTTATGGTTTGATAAGAGCTAGAAGCTTCATTTTAAGAGGAGGCTT